ATAAAAATGCATAAAAACATCTTAGTTGTGTAAAACATGAACACATCACTGTATAGTATTGCTGGTAAGATGCCGGGTTGAAACCCACAATTTTCTCACTGTGAGACTTCAATCCTAACCACTGTACCACCATGGAAACCTTGCAAGTGCAGATAGTATAGTAGGCCCCAAAAAGACAATAGTATAGACAGGTATAAAACCATCATAGTAGACTTATGTATAAAATGTCAAAAAACATCATGGTATAGTAAAGCATAAAAATGTCAAAAAATGTCATAGCATAATAAGGCATAAAAACATTTAAAAAAACATCATAGTATTGTAAAGCATAAAAAATGTCATAGTATAGGATGGCAAAAAAACATCAAAAAACATCACAGTATAGTAAGGCAAAAAAACGTCAAAAAGTCATTGTATAGCAAGGCATAAAAAGGTCAAAGAATGTCATAATATAGAAAGGCATAAAAACACCAAAAAAGTCATAGCATAGAGTCACCAAGTCCGAAAGGTCCCAACAGGGATTTGAACCTAGAATCATGGCACTGCGAGGCAACATATGTAACCATTGTATTACAGTGCCTCCCTATAAAAAAGGCACATCATAGTAAGGCATAAACAACATCAACACACGTTGTAGTATATTAAGACATAAAAAAATATAGTCTGGCAAAAAAATGTCAAAAACGTCATACTATAATAAAGCAAAAAAACGTCATAGTACAGTAAGGTAAAAAAAACACCAAAAAATGTCATAGTATAGTAAGGGATAATAACGCCAAAAAAGTAATTAGAGCATATTACTTCCCAGCCTCGTTGTTACAAAATCATATAGTAAGTTATTAAAAATGTCAAAAAACGTCAAGGCATAAAAACTGCTAAAAAAGTCATTATATAATAAGGAAGAAAAACGTCCTAGTGTAGTAAGGCATAAAAATGTCAAAAAATCATCATAGTAACAAAGGGACAATTCTGTCCTTCCAGATAATTGGTAGGGACATGTCCCTACTACTATTCATATGCAAGCCTACACCCTTGTTATGGAGATGAATTGTTATCATGGGCCTGCAGCGTTTTGCAAATATTAAGAGGCCAACATTGAGGTTGAGTAATTTCTTTTGATTCATATTCTTTCTTTAAGATGAGGAGCTTTTCAGGATGAGGACAAAGTTTGTGTATTAGGTGACTGAAACTAACCTAAACTAACTTGATGGGAACAAATAACACATTGAATCCCCTGAATAATCCAAACTAGAATAGATTCATTTCCATGCTTCATATTATTTCCACTAGATGAGCTTTTCAGGGGGAGGACTAAGTTTGCAGCGAGGGTGTCAATTGCTCTAATTAAGGAGCTCCTAGACGACCTCTTGAAAGCTAAAATCGTCAACGATGGGCAGTGAGTCAATACTTGAAGAGAACCCTATCAGAGCAGACAAGGCACGCGGCCTCATTGACACAGTGAGGAGGAAAGGAGATGCAGCCAGCAGGGTGATGATCGCTCACCTTCACAGAAGAGATCCTGAACTTTACTGTCAACTGGGCCTGGGCCAGGGCCTTCTTTAACCAGGTGAGCTGGGATATTTAGAGCTAGAGAGAACTGTATCCTATTTTTAGCCAAACCAATATTGTATTTTGACATTGTCATGATCATCAGCTTTTGTATATGAACAGAAATACCTCATTTTCAACAGTTATGTTGTTGTGTTTTGTTGTTCCCAGCTGCAGACTAAGCAGGAGCAGTCAACCTCACTCATCCCTACCGCTAAGGAATTCTGGGAGAAGAAACAGAATGATAGAAATGTTAGTCATTCATAAAAGCCATATCAAATACCTTATCTGGCTTAATTGACAGACTTACTTTCCACTATGAGCCAACAAAGGGAAAACATTAGTTTTAATACAACATTATAATACACAATATTTGATCATAAATTTTTCCCTTAAATGTATTTTTTCAGATTCACCCTGTGACCAAAAATTATACTGGGAGCCCTGTGGCCCTGTCCTGTCATGTTGAATTTAGTTAGAATTATATTTGCTAAACGGTTTGTGAATGAATTACAATCTATTTGCAATAAAATAAATTTGTTATCAATAAATTGTCTAAGACAAAATAAACTTGTGTGCTTATCAGCTTATTTTCATTTCTAGTGGTATCATTATGAAACTCTACTGTTGATTACGCTGCGTAAACGTTAAAGTAAGTTAATTATCGTTTCCAAGGACAGGAGTGTCTTTTATAGCCTATAAGGGTTTTTCAAAAGCCCTCGGTTCAAGTTTGAGTCTCAACTGTTTCAAATGTGGTTGAAGATCAGCCACACCAAAATGTAGGCGACATCATGCTGCACCGCTGGAGCAGTAATTCTCACTTTGAGCCTCATATTGTTAACCTGCAGCAGAAATACAACACCTCGTAGTGCACTGTACTACTGAAGGGTTAAAGTAGGCTGGAGGCGTAACCAGGAAACATCGTTCATCGCATCAACTCGTGCGCATTACGCACCCGTCCCACCACACATAAACTACTGGAAATCAGAAACTTGGAAGTTTTTAAAAGTTCTTTGAAGACTTCAGATTAAACAGCCCTGTGTGTGATACGAGAATTGTGCAATGGCAGGTAAGTGTTCACGGTCTAAATGCACTTAGCGAGTAACCACGATTTATGGTGTTCTGTGTGTTGGCGGCAATATGCTGGAGATCAGCCAGTAAATTTAACAATCTACACAAGCTGCAGTTACTGTTAGTGCTTCGTGTTATCAATGGAGGACAGGAGTTAGACATATGGTTTCTGTCATGGTTCATAGTATGTCTGTCAAATAAAAGTCTAAATTCGGGTAGTAGCTCAGTTGGATGAGCATCAGGCATGTGTAGAGGCTACAGTCCTCGCTGCAGTTGGCCCCGGTTCGAGTCCCGCATTGGACAGCCCTTAAGCTGCATGTCATTCCCCCTCTCTCTGTCTCCCCATTTCCTGTCTCTCTCTACTGCACTATCAATAAAGGCACAAAAAGCCCGAAAAAAAAAAAAAAGTCTAAATTGGGCTATTCTACGTGTTCTTGTGTATGCCACGTACGTGAACTTTCACTCTGTAGGCGCTCAAGCCTGCACTATTTGTGCTGTTGTTTAGTCTTTTACTCGAGAATCTGATTTCTTCTGAATGAAAACGATACATTATGTTGAAAACAGATCGTACTGATGGTCTAATTGTCAAATAGTTTTCAGCTGTTCAAGTGAAGCAGGAAAACCATAGGCGTCACTGACATGAGACTTCTTCTCTACAGGAAGGGCACAAACCATACTAAACCCTCCTCCCTGCATTACACAACCAAAGGCGTAGTTTAATCATATATTATTACATTTTATCCTAGCGATTTGAAATCTAATGGAAGTATATCAAACATATAGAAATATTGTTAACACGTTATAATAAAGGTACAAACGCTGCTGATTTCAAGCAGGATATATCATGAATTCCAGTTACTCACTATAAAGAAATAACCAAGTTACTGTGAGTTCATGTGATTAGTTAATGCTTAATGGATCATCAATTAATGGTTGTTAACGTGCAGTTGCTTCATTCGCATTGATTTCTGTGCATCACTTAAACATGTTTTTTAAAAACGTTATTATTGACTCAGGTGCCAGTTTATTAGGTACACCTGACAAAGTTAAAAACAAAGTATAATTTGCTGTAAATAATCACGTTTATGATGTTCAATTTGTGCTGACACTGTTTCAGAGAGGTGTCAATTCAACTGTGTGGTCATGTTGGAGGATGAAAATTGAATTACATCACTATTTATATCAATATATAATGTATAATGCACTACAGTTCAACACCATCCTCTCAAATGGTCATACAGTTGAATAAACGCCTCTCCAAAACAGTTTCAATAAAAACTGAACATTATAACCATTATAAGTAGATATTACACATTTCTGATATTGTCTTATTCATAACCCCAACCCTTCACTGAAATGACATTAAGAGGCCAACATTTAGGTTGTGTCATTCCTTTTGATTCATATTTTCTTTTAGATGAGGAGCTTCTCAGGGTGAGGACAAAGTTTTTGGATAAGGTGACTAAACAAGTTATTAATCAGCTGCTGGGTGATATTTTAGAGGATTGTATTGTGAATGATGGGGAGCAAGAGTCAGTCCTTGTTGGGAACAAATAACACATTGAATCCCTTGAATAATCCAAACTTGAACAGTTTCCTTTCCTTGCTTCATATTCTTTCCCCTAGATGAGCTTTTCAGGGTGAGGACTGAGTTTGCGGCGAGGGTGTCACTTGCTCTAATTAAGGAGCTCCTNGAGCCTATCCCAGCATCCTTTCGGGCGAGAGGCGGGGTACACCCTGGACAGGTCGCCAGTCCATCGCAGGGCACACAGAGACAAACAACCATTCACTCTCACATTCACACCTATGGTCAATTTGGAGTAACCAATCAGCCACACAATATTTGATCATAAATTTTTCCCTTAAATGTATTTTTTCAGATTCACCCTGTGACCAAAAATTATACTGGGAGCCCTGTGGCCCTGTCCTGTCATGTTGAATTTAGTTAGAATTATATTTGCTAAACGGTTTGTGAATGAATTACAATCTATTTGCAATAAAATAAATTTGTTATCAATAAATTGTCTAAGACAAAATAAACTTGTGTGCTTATCAGCTTATTTTCATTTCTAGTGGTATCATTATGAAACTCTACTGTTGATTACGCTGCGTAAACGTTAAAGTAAGTTAATTATCGTTTCTAAGGACAGGAGTGTCTTTTATAGCCTATAAGGGTTTTTCAAAAGCCCTCGGTTCAAGTTTGAGTCTCAACTGTTTCAAATGTGGTTGAAGATCAGCCACACCAAAATGTAGGCGACATCACGCTGCACCGCTGGAGCAGTAATTCTCACTTTGAGCCTCATATTGTTAACCTGCAGCAGAAATACAACACCTCGTAGTGCACTGTACTACTGAAAGTTTAAAGTAGGCTGGAGGCGTAACCAGGAAACATCGTTCAACTCGTGCGCATTACGCACCCGTCCCACCACACGCAAACTACTGGAAATCAGAAACTTGGAAGTTTTTAAAAGTTCTTTGAAGACTTCAGATTAAACAGCCCTGTGTGTGATACGAGAATTGTGCAATGGCAGGTAAGTGTTCACGGTCTAAATGCACTTAGCGAGTAACCACGATTTATGGTGTTCTGTGTGTTGGCGGCAATATGCTGGAGATCAGCCAGTAAATTTAACAATCTACACAAGCTGCAGTTACTGTTAGTGCTTCGTGTTATCAATGGAGGACAGGAGTTAGACATATGGTTTCTGTCATGGTTCATCGTATGTCTGTCAAATAAAAGTCTAAATTGAGCTATTCTATGTGTTCTTGTGTATGCCACGTACTTTTACTTTCACTGTAGACGCTCAAGCCTGCACTATTTGTGCTGTTGTTTAGTGCACTTAGTTGTTAAAAAAAGTTGAAAATGATATGACACAACCTTTTTAGATTTTCAAAATGTGGATTTACGAGCTTTCTGTATACGATTAAACTTTGAAATGACAACTGTGACATGTCTTACACTATATTCATATCCGGTCCAGTGTCTGTCGTTTAGTGTTTGCTCAGAATAAGGTAAACCATTAATGCAAACTGAGCAGGTCGGACCGTAAGGTTCTTTTATTCGAGAATCTGATTTCTTCTGAATGAAAACGATACATTATGTTGAAAACAGATCGTACTAATGGTCTAATAGTCAAATAGTTTTCAGCTGTTCAAGTGAAGCAGGAAAACCATAGGCGTCACTGACATGAGACTTCTTCTCTACAGGAAGGGCACAAACCATACTAAACCCTCCTCCCTGCATTACACAACCAAAGGCGTAGTTTAATCATATATTATTACATTTTATCCTAGCGATTTGAAATCTAATGGAAGTATATCAAACATATAGAAATATTGTTAACACGTTATAATAAAGGTACAAACGCTGCTGATTTCAAGCAGGATATATCATGAATTCCAGTTACTCACTATAAAGAAATAACCAAGTTACTGTGAGTTCATGTGATTAGTTAATGCTTAATGGATCATCAATTAATGGTTGTTAACGTGCAGTTGCTTCATTCGCATTGATTTCTGTGCATCACTTAAACATGTTTTTTAAAAACGTTATTATTGACTCAGGTGCCAGTTTATTAGGTACACCTGACAAAGTTAAAAACAAAGTATAATTTGCTGTAAATAATCACGTTTATGATGTTCAATTTGTGCTGACACTGTTTCAGAGAGGTGTCAATTCAACTGTGGTCATGTTGGAGGATGAAAATTGAATTACATCACTATTTATATCAATATATAATGTATAATGCACTACAGTTCAACACCATCCTCTCAAATGGTCATACAGTTGAATAAACGCCTCTCCAAAACAGTTTCAATAAAAACTGAACATTATAACCATTATAAGTAGATATTAGACATTTCTGATATTGTCTTATTCATAACCCCAACCCTTCACTGAAATGACATTAAGAGGCCAACATTTAGGTTGTGTCATTCCTTTTGATTCATATTTTCTTTTAGATGAGGAGCTTCTCAGGGTGAGGACAAAGTTTTTGGATAAGGTGACTAAACAAGTTATTAATCAGCTGCTGGGTGATATTTTAGAGGATTGTATTGTGAATGATGGGGAGCAAGAGTCAGTCCTTGTTGGGAACAAATAACACATTGAATCCCTTGAATAATCCAAACTTGAACAGTTTCCTTTCCTTGCTTCATATTCTTTCCCCTAGATGAGCTTTTCAGGGTGAGGACTGAGTTTGCGGCGAGGGTGTCACTTGCTCTAATTAAGGAGCTCCTAGACGACCTCTTGAAAGCTAAAATCGTCAACGATGGGCAGAGTGAGTCAATACTTGAAGAGAACCCTACCAGAGCAGACAAGGCACGCGGCCTCATTGACACAGTGAGGAGGAAAGGAGATGCAGCCAGCAGGGTGATGATCGCTCACCTTCACAGAAGAGATCCTGAACTTTACTCTCAACTGGGCCTGGGCTGTGGTCAGCCTGCTCCACCAGGTGAGCTGATATTTTACAGCTAGTGAGAACTGCATCCTATTTTTATCCAATCCAATATTGTATTTTGACATTGTCATGATCATCAGCTTTTGTATATGAACAGAAATACCTCATTTTCAACAGTTATGTTGTTGTGTTTTGTTGTTCCCAGCTGCAGAGCCGCAGACTAAGCAGGAGCGGTCAACCTCGCTCATCTCTACCGCTAAGGAATTCTGGGAGAAGAAACAGAATGATAGAGATGTTAGTGATTCATAAAAGCCTTGTCAAATATCTCCTCTGGCTTAATTTACAGATTCACTCTCCACTATATTCCATCACTGGGAAAAATTTAGTTTTAATACATTTTAATACAAAATATTTGATCATAAATTTTTCTTCTAAGTCTACTATGTCGATGTACATGTAAATACATATGGTAAAACTTTGATAAATTTTCTTCCTTTAAATTTATTTTTCAGGTTTACCCTGTGACCAAAGATAATATTAAAAGTCGTGTGGCCCTGCTAATCACTAATATAAGGTTTACCGATGAGAGACTTAACAGAACGGGAGCTGAGAAAGATGAGGAGAACATGGAGAAACTGCTCAAAGCTCTGGGATACGATGTGATGAAGTGCACAAACCTCACTGGAAAGGTACTAGTGAAAAAAAGAAAACACATTTTCTTTTTGTTAAGTCAGAACATTTGATTAAGAAATGACAGTAACTGACAACTGACTTTTTGTGTTCTCACAGGGGATTGATGAGGCTTTAATTAAGTTCTCTAAACAGGAAAAAGTCAAAGAGACAGACAGTGTGTTGGTGGTTATCATGTCTCATGGGAAACTCGGAGCTGTCCTTGGTGTCAACTCAAAAATTCAAATATGTGATGATGAGACCCCATCTACCCCAGATGAGTTCTCCATCGACAACATTTACAAACACTTGGGAACAGACAAATGTCCAGTGCTGCTGAACAAACCCAAAGTCATCATCATCCAGGCCTGCAGAGGAGGTGAGTCTCATCTATTCTTACGGATGTTCCAAACTTGAATTCAAATTAAGACTTTGCTAAATGAATGTCATACTTCGTTGTATTTTAGAGAGAGAGGTTGTCATGAATTGTATCAAATAATATGCCACATGTATTTCAGGCGAGCGTGGATCTGTGCTTCTTTGCGATGGTGCAAAACCATGTGATGTCCCACAGCAAGGTCCGTCTGCTTCTGCAGCCGAAGAGGACATAGAGGATGATTCTTTGAAGTTTGTACACAAAGAAAAAGACTTCATTTCTCTTCTCTCCTGCACCCCTGGTCAGCTCAACTGAAATATTATCAGATCAAATTTTAAAGCTCGTGACAAGAATAGTTACAGCATAGTAAAAATCTGTAAAAATGTATTTTCTGTTTTTCCTGCAGATACTGTCTCATATAGACACCCAGAACACGGGTCTATTTTTATCCAGTATGTTGTTGATGTATTCAACAATTGCTCCCATGAGAATGATATTGAGGAACTTTTCAGAAAAGTGAGTTTTGCAAGTGTGAACTGTTGTAAACATGTTCTGAGTGTAAAATTTGCACGTATGTGTATGAATGGAAAGTAATATCATTTATGAGGGAACAATAATGAAGATGTTCTTGTTTTATAAGTGTAAGCTTTACTTCATTTCATACACTGTCTGTTTTTAACTACACAGGTCATGCGACACTTTGAAGAGTTTTCCGCTGGCAGCAAAAGACAAATGCCGACCAAAGAGAGGTGCACTCTTACAAAACGCTTCTACCTCTTTCCAGGTGTCTGAGATAGGACTCAATCCTGTTCAGCACAGCTTTTGTAGCCACATTTAAAATCATGGTTTCAATTCTTTCAAAGGTGCTAATCAGTGAATAGATAGCAAGCAGGGGACAAAGGGGTCAGGGGGCGCTGGGCCAGAGCCTGTGCACGAAGTGTCTGATGAGACTTCCTGTTGCAAAGCTAATCAAAAGACTACAACAAAAATGCCAATGACTGGAAAGAGGCACAAAATGACCACAAACAGATGCAAACGAATGCAGATGCAGAATGCAGAATGATTACAATGAGAAGCATTTTGCATTTCTTTCAGTCTTGGTGTTTGGCCCCTTGGTAGGAGGGCTGGGGGCTTTTTACATAGTCTCATAATTTCATCCTTGATAAACCTAAACTTTTTTCTATTTGTAGTTGAATCTTTGCTTTTATATGTTTATATGTCTGACAATATGTCCATCTTTTGAATTAATGGAACATGGGAATTTTTATTTTTAAACTTATAACTGTGATTGAACAGGTTCGCTCACTCACAAAAAAAAAAAACATAACACATTTTAAAGTACAAAATTATGAAATCACTTTGATTTACTGTGTAGCCAACAGAACATGTAAGAAGAGTTCCATGAAGAATGGAAATCAATTCCAGGGCTCAGACAAGCAGCATAAAGTTTATGATAGTTGTGGTAGATCTCATTGTAATTTTACTTTAATGCATCCATGCTAAAACAGTTAAGGATTTTTTGTTTGCCTTCATTTGGGCCAGATTGGGAACAATATTGTGTCTTTATTTTGCTTCAATTCATTCAGCACTCCAATGAGTCAGATGAGATGTCTTGAAAATATTTTGTTTGTCATGCTAAAACAATGAATGATTTTTTTCTTAACTTTGGATGGAATGGGAATTTGTACTGTTGTGGGTCTGTTTGCTGAATATCTATATACACAAATACATTTGACTTGAGTGAATACCTTGTAGCCACAATTTAATGCTGTCACACCCACTAGCCTGGTTAATCAGCAACAGTGGGGCAAAGATATAAAAGTGCTTGGTGCTGTGAAGACTGGCACAGTCCACATTGCGTGGTTGCTATTTTATGGTAGTTATCTGATATACTGTATGTGTTGTAGTTGTTAATACTTGTATTACATTTGCTTGTTTGGTGATCAATGCTGATCTAAGGGGCTACAGAAGCTGTGTTGCTTTGGATTTGATTTTGTATTCTATTTTGTAGACCGCACAGGCATTATCAGTGTAATCCTGCTATTGGCACATGGTGTATATGACTGCCCACTGTGCATTTCCTTCAATAAAACTCACTGACCTGAGGATCCTCTCTCCCGTCCCGCCGTGATTCTTTTACCAAAATCATATCTGCTGACTCAAACCAGGTAAAATCTCCAAAGGCCCCAGCCTTTTTATGTTTCTTTTACCACTTAAGAACATTCTTTAAAAATAAAATTCTTGTAGTTATAGGAAATACCCCATTAATTGTCATAAAAGTCATTAAGGCAGAAAGAGGAAACCATGTCAGGAATACCACTTGAACTTTGCCCTGTACCATACATGTTACAGGGAAAACCCAGCATTACCTGCTGTTCCATGCTACCAGCACACTGTGAGAATGGAAACATGCTTTAGAGAAAAACTGATTACAACAATATTCAACAATTATGACATTATTTCAGTTATTTTTCCAAAACTGTGATTTGTTTTTATTTCACAACAAGGCTTCAGTTACATTAATATTCAATAACTTCCCCAACACTGATCATGATCTTGAAAAGTTTCAATCATATATGAATGATGTTGTGGACAAATTTGTCCCGATGCTCATGAAGCACACATACGAGTCCAACATGTTCTCCAACAGTCACCAATTGTCATCAAAGTGATCATAATAACCATGGCACTTATATAATATATATATATAATAAGGAAAAAATAACATACACACAAGAACACATATACCTCGTCCCACATATATAAACTTGCATAGTCATATACATTTACATATATACAGTATATAAACATACATGCTGTACACAAAAATCTAGATATAGGTTAGGGTTATTAAGAGCAAATAGTCTGAGGAGTGGATGGGACTTGAGGGTTTAATTGAACAAAATAAATTAATTAGAAGGGGTGTAATATGGTTCTGGGTGTCTAAAGACCTAAGTCTACATTTAAAGGTTCACATTTTTCTAGTCTGTCATAATACAATACTCATATCCCATATGTACAGTGGAAATGTTATTGGTTGCTGGAATTGTTCCTCTTGTCTATACTAAGACAATCATCATTCTGCACAAAAATAGGTTCCAAAGTTTCTGTCCTTGTTTTGTATTGGTCCATTTTTTGTGTTAGTAATCCTCCGCCAAACACTACAGTGGAAGCACAAAATGAGTCTAGTAGTAAAAGTAGTGAGACGTTTTGCCTAATTCAGACAACTAAAGTCTCATATTAACTTTGGCTGAACATGAACCTTGGAAAGTATTTTTGCACATACTCTGTTCTTTGCAGCAGTATAGACAAAAGGAATGACTGCTGGAATCAGTAACTGTTTCAATGTACACATGGATATGTCAGTATTGTTCTAAGACAGACCTGACAAAATGAAAACCTGTCATTTAAGCGTTCAAAATTAAAGTTTTCTCTGACTCTGAGTTCAAAAACATGTCCACTGTCATTACCAATCATCACAGAAAAACACGCAAATCTCTCAGACTTCAAAGCACACACATGACAACGAGGTATGTAAATCATGACACACACAAACAGCAGAAGAGTTCCTCAAGTTCCTCAAATGATTGTTTTGATTAGAAAAAGCACATTTGATAATATAACATTAAAAACAGCTCAATAAATGTCAGTACACAGATGCACGTTGAGCTATATCTCTTCACCCACCAAGATGCAGGTGAGAGCAACGATCAATGAATTGACTTATTTTATTTCAGACCACAGAAACATGGAAGTAGTTTTTCCTGATAAATTTAATTGGTAATAGATTTCCTTGACTTACACATCAGCACCTCAGAATAAGAACACACACTCATCCTTATACACATTGGAAGACTGGAGTTTAATACAAGTCAGTGATCTACTATCACTTTGCAAGTTATAATATAGGCATGATTTTTTAATATTGTTAGCATGTTATATTATCTTTAATACCTGCCTTGAAATTATCTTAAAAGTCATATTTTTCCTCTAGATAACAAGCTCGGGGGAGACTTGTGGAAAAGGTGTCAAAAACTGTTCTGAAGGAGCTCCTAGTCGACCTTTTAGAAGATGGTTTGTTGAATGATGGAGAGACAGACTCAGTGCTTGATGACAACAGTAACAAAGCCAACATGGCATGAGGAAAGAAGACAAAGCCAGCAAGAAGATGATTGCTCACCTGAAAACAGAGATCCAACACTTCACTCTGAGCTGGGCCACTTTCCTGTAGCCAGTCTGCTCAGCCAGCAGGTGAGCTGACATTATCACGAAGATCAGAGTATGCCATGTTCAAAGATGTAAAAAAGAACATCACTCTGGCCAGTAGTGACACAGTGATTTGTTTGTGTTTGTGTTTGTGTTTGTGTTTTTTTCCAGCTGCACAGTTATATTGTTGAGGTGTTCAACACCTGCTTCCATGAGGATGATATTGATGAAACTTCAGAAAAGGGAGTTTTTCACATGGAAACGTTTTTGTGGTTGTCTGCTAAAAGTGAAAAGGTTCAGTTCAACAGCTGTGATTTAACAAGACCTTAGAGCAACCAGTAACCATGTTGTAACCACACAGGTCATGCAATGCTTTCTGTAATGAATGTGAATGAATGTCTATGCAAGTGTGAGGTTGGTTGTTATCAGTTCGGCTAGCTGAGGTCCTGACACATCCTGGGAAGACCAAAGATTTGAATCACATTAGATTGGTCCATGAGGATAGATAGGTACTTTATTTATCCCCTAGGGGAAATTGAGTGTTAGGATCTGCTGACATGAAGTCAGTGGGAATCATTTGTCATTTCTAGTGAGATCAGAAATCAGAACACTTTTTTTATGTTTTCTTTTTTTGTTTTTTTTATCACATTCATTAGGGATTTGAATGTTTCATATCTATTAGGGGAAAGTCATAAAAGTAGAGGCATTGTTGCAGAAATTCTGCACTAAGTCAGAGGATATCTTTTTCACTGAGTGCAGTGACTCTCTGTTCTGGCCACATCCTGCATGATGTGACTAGTGCTACTAGATAAGCACGAGTTACATGGAAATAGTGTTTACAGAAAACTTTAATGGGAGCAGACTGACACCATGAATAGGAACTGGGCCTCTCCTGTGGTCAGCCTGCTCCATCAGGTGAGCTGATTTTAATATTGATGGTTGAACAACCCTTTATTCCAAAGAAAAGAGAACATGTTTTATTCAAGTGTGACACAGTAACATAAAGACAATAGCACACTATTAAAGTTACAAGTAAAGGTCCTGCATTCAAAATTTTACTTAAGTAAAAGTACAAAAGTATTATCATTTTAATGTTGCAGTTGGTTGAGGTGGATGTCATATACCATCCTTTGTATATGTTACTATTTACCAGTTTAACCCTTAATATACATTTTCTGTGTGCAATGTTAATCTGAAAAGTAACTAGTACCTACTCTCAGTCCATTTTACTGAGGAAACTTTTGTACTTTTACTTTAGGAACATTCTTAGGGTTGGACTTTTACTTTTACTACTTTTAATGGCATATTTTTACAGTGTGGCACATTATGGGCTCTCTCTCTCTCTCTCTCTGCACTCTTCATCTGTCAGTCTGAGGGGATGATAAGAAAAAAAAGAGTGAAACTATTACTAAAGCAAGTATTTCAAAGTAAAATGCTAGTAAGAAGAATATTAATTGTATCTGTGTGAAATAACTATATACACATGATGATAATTGATTAATAGTTAGATGGAGTAATGTCTAACAGTGATAATGATGAAATTAATTAAATGTGTTATCCAATAATCTGTAATGAACTCATTCTAAATCATAATAGAATAATCAAATACAGTAAAAAAAATTGTTTATTAAATGCAATTTTTAATCTTAATGAACATGAAACTAAAGGCAGAAGTTAAGTGCTCTGTTTCCTTTGACTATGAGGAAAAGGGAACTTCAGAGTCCAGATGAGAGTTGCTGGAAAGTGAAGCGCACAGAGGACACGCGCAGTTTCCCCACAAAAACAGGAAGGATATTCATGTTGCAAGCAGAAGTGTCCAGAAAAACTTAACGAGCTGGACAAAACTTATATTATTTTACGAGAAATACATCTGTTTCTGTCAGCACCTGTCTGTTCATGTTGCTCTAAATGGGGCATGTACAAACAGGCACAGAGAAAAAAATTGAAACTTAAATCAATGGCCACAGAAAACAAATGAAAATAAAGATATAATTTATATATATTTATATATATATATACTGTATATGTATAATATAATTTATCTCTCTCTCTGAGAGACTGGCGGCCTTCAAAATAAAAAAGGAATTTCTAGTCCAATACAACATAATGTAAAGGTTCAATGTCTTTATTGAACTCTGGAGATAAAGAAGATACTGGAGGGTGAAGACTGACTTGGCTTTAAAAGGATGGACTCCTCTACTTGTGCCCTGTAGATAAGTACCTGTGCCTTCTTGTTTCATTATTTTGTCCATTCCATTTACAGTGTATCAATGGCAGTAGGCTGAATAACAGAAACACCTCTCTGGATAATGGAATACAGTTCAACTCACCACACACTTCATCCCTCCAAAATGATCACACAGTTTAATCAACACCTCTCTAAGACAGTTTCAGTAAAACTGAACATTATAACATTCATAAAGGAGGATTTATTGTAGGACTATGGTATTAGATTGAATTAATTTCAGCTATGTGGACCGGATAAACTGCCAACTAAGTGTATGTTTGGTTCATTAAATTATTATACAAAATAATGTTATAAAACAAACTACCCAGCAGTGTGTGCAGTGTGTGATACATTGACCGACCCAGCATTGGAATACTGAGAATGCCATGTTGAAAATTGTTGAAAATGTCCCTTTAAAAGGACTTACAGGAAAAACCTGTTTCTGTGAACACAAATCAAAGCACAAACTCTGAGAGTCATTTTACAGACAAATTTTACTTGAAAAAACAAAACAAAACAACAACTCAGATTAAAACAAACAAAAACAAGTCATCACAATACAACACAAAGGAAACAAGTTGAGGAGGCAACATGGTAACATGGTTGCAGTCTGTGCATGTCTGATGTGTCGCCAGAAAACTGACATGAAAGTCTTTCACAGGGCTACTTTGAGTTCATGCTGATGCTTTCTTTGACTCATGAAGTTCATTCATATAATAAACAGAAATAGCTTGACAAGGATATGCTCTGTTTAAAGCTCGGGGTTTATAAAAAGACATAAAACAACAAGGTTTTGTCACTTGCAGACCAGAATTATCAATCCAATCAGACTAGACTCCATTTTAACAGCTTATTTGAACATACTGGCAGTGTTAGAGAACTTTATATCAGTTTACACTTTATACAAAACAAAGACACAGGTGGCTATCAACAAGCACTCATGTTCTTATCTAGTGACTCACACACGGCATGTTCACACATGTAGCTACAAACGAACACACACCTATTCTCTTTCACATGTACGTTATGCATGCATGCACTCACTCACACTCAACACTGGAGCCACAACTGGTAAGGCCAGACGAAATTAAATATATTAGCATTGCTTCTGTGAACCACGAGAGATGACATTAGAAAGAGTTTGGCAGTGTGATGACTCTACAACCGGAATATCCCACATCAGATCAGTTTTCTTTCCCTTTTGCGATTGAATACAAAACACCACTTTACAGTGAACTAAATCATGCAGAGCTTTTGAAGGGAGGTAGAGGACATCAGAGGCATAAAGTAAGAAGGCTAGAAAAGATAAAGTAAATAAACATGTAAATAAACAGGTTTATAGATAACGTGGCTTTGAAAACACTGCAGATTAGTGGCCTGTCACTTTGCCTGTACAACACAAAAAAGACATTACAACTGAATAAGTGTCATATTTGGAAGTTGGAATGTATTAGTATAGCGTTACATAGCATTTAGTAACTTTTTCATTCAAGAATTCACTTTTGGAAACACATATCTTTGACAACACTCAACACTTTTTGCAGCACCACACATTTACAAAATAGCAACTCATGCGAAAACACCTCTGGCCCTGTACACTGTGTTTAAAATGTATCTTACAGTGGGTAACGCACCTTGTGCTAAACATTTAATAGGTTGCATTTATGAAAACAGGAAACCAAAAATGTGTATCTGCTCTGTTTTTGCTCTGTTGTGTGTATGTATATGTGTTTGTGTGTCTTTTAGTGTCACTGGGGCTGAGGTTTAGGCCAGAGTTCCCCCAACAATAGAAGCAATGACAATTCCCAGAACCACACAGCATATAAGGATCATAATTTTCTTCTAAATAGTGTTTACATGAAAAGATAAACAGTCATCCAAGGCAGCAAATGGAGAGCAGAGGAAGACAAGTTAGAAATATGACATCTACTATTCTTTCACACATATCACAATATTTATAATAATCTGAACAAAATGCAGTTTGGACACAATTCAGTTTGGAGAAATACACTGTGATTGAATGTAGCTGATGATGTTCGAGTGTGGAGTGTTGGATCCTGCATTTTGTTCATAGTACATTAAACAACATACAGCAACACACATACCACAAACATGAATCACTAAGGTGTTTAAAAGCCACTGTGTGAAGAAAATAGGCATCCTCAATCATGGTGACATCTGGTGGCAGTATCAAAGAGGTAAATGTGTCAGACAGCAATCAAAGCAGCTATCTCTTGAAATAAGACAAAAGCAATATATAGACTGCACAAATGTCCATGGGGATTGTTTAATTTTACTGTAAAAATCCACACAGTGGCTTTAAAGCAAACCTAACTTGTAAAACATGTCTTTTAGAAAGCATTCCTCCACTTGAGTCCATAAAAATTCAACGTCTAACACTTCACCAGTTTTGTCAAAGAAATTGTTAGACATTTTGGGGAATAAACTCTCTCACTTTCAACCAAGAGCTAAATGAGATGGATGGATCAATACCACTCTTGTGTATGGTAAATATGAAGCTGAAGCCAGCAGCTGGCCCTGTCCAGAAGAATCAAAATCTGCCTACCACCAACTCTAAAGCTTTCTAACATATATCTCATTCGATCTGTACAAAAACCGAAAAACATTTTGTATTTTCACAGAGAATTATCATAGATATATTAGGAGAGCTGGCTACAGCACCACCACTCAGCCTTGTTGCCAATTTGTCCCTGTGGCCACTTGAGGTACTGCAACAAAAAAAATCCCCTGAAGGCCAAAAGTATTTTCCCCTTACACCAACGTTACAAAATGAATGTCTGTAAAATTTATGATACAACTCTACCAACTGCAAACAAGATCAATTTTTACTCTTTGTATTATGAATTCTTGATCAATGTAAGTTATATATTTGTAAAACTTTCCCAGAGCCTGGAAAAAAGTTATTTTCATGTGCGTGGCATAAGGTTAGTTCACCACGTCAGGGGCCGAGGGTATTGAATGTGGGAGTGAATGGAAAGCACTGTGATGTTGCAACATCCGAGGAGCTGAGAGAAACAAAGATAAATGTGCTTTGCTGTCAGTCACATTCCTTTGTTAGAATCAGTTTTGTAAACCAGAGCTACAGAGATGACAACAATTAGAGAACATCACCCGAATTATATTGTTGCAATATTAAAATCAATAATGTAGGGTTGGGCAAAACACCAAGGCAAAACCCTCTTCAGACAGACTGTAAGAAGTATTGAGGGTTGCTTATCTACCAATCTCAACTTGATCAGCAAGCAGTGAAATGAGCTACAACAAAGCCAACAAGACCGCAAAAAGGTGCAACTTTGCTCTATCCTAAGTTAAATGAATCTCATGTGGAGAAGAGACAGATGATGACTATCTTTTATATGCCCCTGCCACTCTATTGCAGACAGCAGGCTGCTAGGAGATAGCTTCGCCAGCTCCCTGAGACAAAACATCCAGAGACAGAGCTCTGCAAACACTCACAGCAGCATGGATTGACGTCATTACTGGCAGTTACTGAGCGCACACACACAGGAAGGAAAGTCTACAAAAACAATCAGGTACAGTGGAAGAAGTAGGGACTCCGGAGACAGGAAACCTGTTTCCCTATGGTTATTAGATCCCTAGATAGACAATGTAAGAAGAAGAGGAAGCTATTTACAGCTCCTAAAATCACAGTAGGAAAAATGGCTTTATGTAAACCTCCATCTGAAATTATGGACATGGTTAGGAAAAAACCCAATCCAATCTTACATGGCTTATAAATATGCACTGTTTACCACTGTTTAGTACCTGACATGAAGCTGTTAATAAAGTTCATAATCTATAAACTGGAGAGATACAATGAGCAAACCTCTGGAAATTAAGTCTTTTCCAAAGTGGTGCAGCTTCAAGTGTCAAACAAATGCTTCAGCATGTAAACATTGATAACATTCCTCAAAAGCCTGGTGGACGACATTCCTCCGAACACTGTGGCAGACCTTGCGCAGACAATTCTAGCACAAATAATGGCTACAACACATTTACAAAACACCCTGCCTTATCGGCACCACCATGTAACAAGCAGCACGTCGCTCAGGCTACAAGCTGATCATTCTTTCCAGAAAAAAAAAATTCATTTTGAAGTTCTCACCACCTTTAAACCCAGCTTCTCTTCTTCCATTGATTGATGGCGACACTGAGTGTGACTGTATTGCTACTGTTGACACAATACTTACTGCAGACACTAATACCAAATTCTCTACACTGACGGTTCAGTTGGCTATGCAGGTTGTTAGCTGCTTCTTTGCAGGGGCAAAAAACACTGCTACTCAAGCACCACAACAATTGGTAATTGAAAATGAAACATGGTGTGATGAATCTTGATGAATGGATTTCATCAGGTTCTGGCTCTGGTAGAGCAATAAATAATGAAGAGTATGTTTGAAAATGTGTTTTGCAAATATATAGCTTAGAGATGTTTAGATCATACTTTTATTTTTAGGCCTAAGGAAAAAAATCTTGTGTGTTTCACATTTGAGTTTGTTTTACGTGTTAATTTTATCTTTTGATAATGTGTTAGATTTTAAATATCTTAACTGTCCCGAGACGCAGTTAGTAACTGCTTTGGGTTTTAAAAGCCCACCAGAGAGATGGTTAAGAAGGTTTTTCTGTTATTTTTGTGGATAGTAGTATTCTTTTAATGATGTTGATCCTCATTTGAACAGGGGCAGTTAGTTGATAAACTTCAATGGACACTGGACATTGACCGAAGTTAGGTCAGTTCCAAAAAGTCAAAAAACATAATAAATCTCCCAGAAGACTGGATCGATGAGCAGCCTCTACTCGTGGTTTAAAAACCAATCGCTTGCCTCTAATGCAAGCATCTGAGAAACATCGAATACGGGAAATGACTTTGCTTTGATTGGTGTGGTTTTGATTATTCACTTTTCTACAGTTTGCAGGCTCACACAACACGGCATGATAACCAAAGATACAGAAAGAGGCAATAACTCAGAGAGGATTGCCCAGCTGCAGACAGTACCAGTTCCAGATAGTGATGCTGTATTAGTAAGACAATTATTAGGTGAGACATGAGTTCTTCACACATACATCTTATCTTGTCTTAAGAGACAAATTTGTGTTAGAATCAGATCTCTGGTTGGACAAGGGTCATGAGTGTCTTCTGGAAATTTTTGTGTGCAAGCATTTTCCTATAAACCTTTAAATTTAGTGAGCAAATTTGGATTAATTTGGGATTTTTTGGTCCATAGGCATAAGAAATAGTCCAGTGAATATACCCCTGTAAAACCACAACTTTATGTTTTTACACATCAGATTTTATTGATTTTCACATCTAACACTTAGCAAGAAAACAAATATGTTTATTTCCCAAAATGTCAAACTAATCTTTTGATTCCTTGACTATTATCGGAGTGCTCAATGATTCACGCAAAAGAGAGGCTGACTGTTCATGAACTTATTCCATGCATATTATTTGCAGCTTTGTGTTTGTAGAAAAACATGCAAAAATTCTTCAACAGAATACAGAACATGCACATGACAAAGTTATATCAATCGTGACACAAACAGACACAAATCGCAGTTCAACAGTTCCTCGAGGTGCTTGACTGTTTAGCTTAGTTTAGCATATATTAAGAAATGCATCTAAAAGTTCATGTACAATATTTGTGTGCATCAGAGACACACAGTATCGGACTGCCAACTTCCCAGTTAATGAGCAGTTAATGACTGCACATTACAATTCAACAGCTGGACAGTTAGCGTTGTGTTTCTTTGGCAGTCATACATGCATGACATTAATAGGCAGCATCACATCCTGCGATGTCTGCTCTCTGGGGGTTTCTTATGGTCCTAACTGAGTCCAACTGTGAGGGAAATAACGAGGACGGTCACGCATACTGCAATACAACCTCCTATCAGGATCACCTTCTGGACAGGGGAAAATGGGAGGGGGAAACAAGAAGGCCAAAGTGTCAGATAATGATTCAGTGGACATAGGAGAGAATGAATGGGAAACAGAGACAGGCGGAAAGAGGGAAAAAGAAGAGGAGGAAGAAAGGAAGCTTTGCCGTTGCACCATCTTTGATTAGAGGTGGGAAAAGGGTTCACTACAAGGGTACGTGATTACTCCATGTCATTTATGAAATTCCTCTACCTTTGAGTATTGTTATCAATTTTAACCAAGAGGTGGCAGAGTTGTTCCACTGTGCTGCAGGTTGGTAAATGAAGGAAGGATGTGATCAATTTCAAAAGTAAGCCGAGCATTACATGAGACAAGTGATACAACTCTCTTGTATGGTAAATAAGAAGCTGGGGCCAGCTGGTTAGTAAACAGGGGGAAACAGCAGTAGCTGGAATTTGTATTTGTGTCACTACCACTTAAATTCATGTATCCATTACTTTTAGCTACTGCTTCTATTTTGATTTCTCTATTTGCTTGCTTACTTATTTCACGACTTCTCAGCAGCAGGTGATGTTCAGACATCACAGCCATGTCCTGTGCAGTCTATCTGGTAGTTTATTAGTTATTGTGACGATACATCTATTCTAGTTAAGCCTCACACCAATTTGTCATCCTGCTGTGTTTATTTGCTTTTCCTTTCATTTGCCAAATCACGATTTAGTTTTTTAGATTAGCCGAGCTACCTTACGATTTTTCGTTGTGCGCCCTGGTAACTGCAGAAGTACCCCCAGAGGTATGCGTGGCCCTCGTTGGGAATGACCGTTGTAGACTAAGTCAAATACACTCTCGACACACGTCCTCCACATGCAGAATACATGACAGGTGAACATGCACACACACCGACGACAATCACTGCACCACACTGTACACATTACATGCAACGCCTCTGAAGTTATCCATCACTTTCACTTGTGATAGCATGTTTGTGCACATGCATTGTTTTGTTGTGTATGTGACTCACCCTCCGGGCTTTACTCTGGTATTTAACCGCCTTCTTAGTGTCTGATACTGCCCTCTCCACATAGTCTACCGAGTGCTCCACATTGTACTCTATGCGGTCTATCATTTCCCCCTAGGAGAGGTTAGTTACAGAGGGGGTGTGGAAGACATGCAGACAGGAGGAAGAAAGAGAGAGCCAGATGTGGAGGCATGAGGAGGAGGTGATACAGATGAGGGAGGTGGTGAGGGAAAGGGGAGGAATAATGGGTGAATGAGGGGGAGAGAGAAGCACAAAGGGGAAAGGAAAGAGAGAGAAAAAGAGAAAAAAAAGACAAATAATGGCATGAGAGTCAGTTTGTAGACTGCGTACATGTTGCATCTCACCCGTCTGCTGGTCTTTTTGAACTTTTTGCATTTTGGGATGCTCTCCTTTGCTTGCTCCACGTACTCCTGAGCCTCCAACACACTCCGCTCAATGCTGTTCACCAACTCACCCTGCACAAAAGTAAGAGGAGGAGGTGGTGTGAGCAGAAATATGCCCAAGCCCATATTTGGTACCACCTCTCATAGATGTGTTTTTAAATAATAATTAGAAGACTAATCTGATGAATGTTTAATACATTTTTTCTTCAGTTTCTTTACCTCTATTATTTATATATTTTACAATGATGTCTTGTGACATAAATTATTACTTATTAAATGAACATCTTAAACTGTATTGTGAAAGCTTTGAGAAATATACTAATAGATCCTCTCTTTAATCATATATTTATCCACATTTTCATTTATTTTCACTTTCATTTATGAAGGCAGCAGAGGTCATGTTTAAATCAGCATCCATCAACAAAGAATGAAGAGTATTGTACATTTAGCATTAACCCAGGATTGTTAAAAATAAAAGAATGAATAATTTTCTCTTCAAAAGGCTAATATGGCGAACCAGTGGATACAACTCTCCATGCATGCACTGCAGCAATTATTTCTCAAAGAATAAAAAGGAGAAAATGTTAAATCACAGGAAAATTACCTTGCTAAATTAGAAGGGGAGCGCTGTTCTCTGTTCTCTAGAGCTTAGAGTCATTGTTGTGGTGACAGTTGTGGAAAAGAAAGAGGGAAAGGAAATAGAGAGAGTTGGGGACAGAGAGAGCAAAGCTGAGAAAGGCAAAATTAACAAACAGACCAGACTTATCTTAAATGTTATGACAGTTAATAAAGGAGGGGTTAGTTAATTGAATTATTTACATTTAAAGCATTCACAGGTATGACAAGAGAACAAAAGAGTATACACACAGAAACACACATAGTACAACTGAATCATTTGGCATTTAAACAATCATCACTCCCACACTGAAATTATGAGGGAAGGCCTCTTACTGCATTGTGCTGTCCTTGAAATTCACAGCACTCACATACAACAATTTACTTCCATATTCATCATTTGGAATATTTTCTTATTCATTGTGTTCTCTCACTCAGATTTCCTTTTGCATAATTCAGACTGGTTATTTCTGATGAGGGAAACAGTTAATCTCTGTGGGGGTTCAGCCCACACACTCATACTGTCACACATGCAGGCAGCAGGCCTACAGAATAACCTGAAGCTCTACACTTTACTGAAAAGAGCACAGGCAACTCTTACACTTGAGGATTATCTACATATGTGACTTTGAAACTACATATTAACAGTACAAGTAGATTCACTGCTCACCCTCAATGATGTAAGTTTTCAGTGTGCACCATACAACATTCCAGTAGCAGAATCAAACTTTAAGCGCGGGGACATGAAAAAGTAATTATGAAAAAAATCACAACTTACAAAACTAAAACCCCTGAAATATTTAAGGTGTGTTGATAATTTAAAGATCTGATAAAACAGCAACTCTATTTAGTTGCCAACTTAGAAATCTCAGATGACAGATTTTCCTTCCTGCTCATGAACACAGCATGAGTTATTAGTTTAGTCTAAAAAAATGGTCTAATGGCAGAAGGTACAAACTCAGATAATCACTAAATTCTAATCAACTGATCATTGAGCCAATAATTATCTGTCCCCCAAATTCCGTCTATATTTAGTGAGATATTTTGCAATCAGAAAACCAGATGGAGCTGAAAACGCAACCTCCATCCAACTCGGTTGGCATAGATGGGCCTATATTTATACTAATACACTCCACAGCTTGTATGTAAAGTAAAAACACTGCCAGTGTCTGTCAGTCTGAAGTGGAGTTATTTCTATTGTCGGGAGTTGCAGCAGGCAGGCATGCTTAGCTGCTTAATGATTTTATTATCGTGAACACAGTGTCCTGCTGAACCTCTGCATTAGCCAGAGCACCCATTCAAACCACAACCCTGAATCTAGAAAATTGAATTTTAATTCTGCTTTATAGCATCCAGGTTGGTATATGGCTCACCAATTCATGGATACATATTTAGCACATGCAGGTTTGTTTTTCACGGACTTTGGCTCAGTGCCAAATCACACAGTTGTAGGTACTGAGAGCAAGAGGATCCTTGTTTTCACCTGGTTCTCCACCAGCATGGCCATGTCCATGAACATGTCGTGAAGCTCTCTGATACTGTTTTCCAACTTGATAATCTCATTGTGCCGTGTCTCAATCTCATTCATAGCTTGCTGGGTGATGTTGTCCATGATGATCTAAGATGGTATAACAGAGGGAAATGGTTAGAGAGGAGTAAGACTGCATTAAAAACAAGTTTTGTGTCCATTCGTTATGCATTTGTTGTATCACTCACCCCTGAGGTAAAGATAGCTGGGTTGTCACTCTCCAACATGCTCTCCAGCTCCTCATTTGTGGTGTTTCTCCCAGCTAAAAGGACAAACACAACAGACGTGTTTATGGATCATGGTTGGAGAGGATTCTTCATGTTGATAGATTTACAAAGTGTGTTACTGTTACCCAGGAGTTACAAAGTGTAGTAAAACGCTACTGGATTTAAATGGTTTTCCAAACTACAGTGGATAACGACCATTAGGAAGAAAAACTCACTGGATGATAATAATGGCCATCCAGACTCCTGCTCTGTGTCTGTCTGAGGATTAATCAAAATGAGAGCTGTGTGCCTCTTTTGTCCAGAAGCTCATTTTCTCTATATCCATCTGTCTCTGTTGTCTACACTGCATTTTAAACTCAGCATTCTTCCATGTCTGAACAAAAGTGGATGCGATGAAAAAATAATTTGTGCTATAATTCAGGCCTATCATCTATTGCACAAGAGTGATTATATAACAGTTATTAGTCTATACCAGGGGTCCCCAAACTACGGCCCGCGGGCCACATCCAGCCCGCCAAAGCAATTGGAGTGGCCCACTTAACGATCCCAGACAATCCCTCTAAACATCAACCAATTTTTATTAAATTGCATTTTCCTATCATAACATCATAACATATCCGTACTTAAAGGTTGGCATTCTAATTAAAATTGACCATAGTTATGAGCTATTTATAGTTAATAGTGGCTCATCTTCACCTCCTCACACAATGGTATATTCTGACGTGACTTTGATCGTGACCGAGCCAGCGTCAAGCTGCAAAGTTCTGAGGTGGGAATCTGTCATGAAGGTGGTTGTGTCCTGCATAAACTTCATCAGAGCAAACGGACTTAAACACAGGCAGTTCCAAGCCTTTCTCTCCGAGCTAGAATCAGCCCACGGAGACGTGCTTTACCACACTGAAGTCCGCTGGTTAAGCCGGGGCAGAGTTTTGAAGCGTTTTTAC